TTGCTAGTTTTTCTTTATAGTTGAGACTTTGAAGACATTCTTGTTGTACAGTATGGAGGAAAGTGGCTGACTTATTTATATGACCAACTCACTTATTGATTATATTGTGAAGGATAGATTGCTTGATTGATTATGAAGCAATCGCTAGCTACGCGGAAGTTATATATGGTGTGGATTATGTAAGAAGGCGGATAGGCCTGACACGCCCACTCACCGATGTAACTGTACGCGAGATTACATACAAAAAATAGCCTGTAGCTAGGTATCAGTACATGATTTGACTGGAAAACCCATATTGTTGAAAAACCAGTCATTTCCTTCATATAATCATTTCCGCCTGCTTACCGCGTCTTCTACTATCCACCGCCATAGGGCGTATCTAGTCACCCCAAGCAGCTTGGTCAGCCCGTCTGCCGCGTTCTCAGTGGACAGGACGTAATCAATCAAGATCTCATTCTTGCGGACGAGATCCCGAAGAGTATGGAAGCAGACCTCTATATGCTTAGATTGGCGCGGAATAGCCTCACTCTTGGCCAGTTCAATCACTGATTTATTATCCGCCCAAATCATATACACTAGCTTATTGGCTGGTGATTCAATCAGGTCATCATTATCATTGAGATTATTGAGCTGGGATGATATGAAGCCAGCATCCTCCAGCAATTCCTGGAGGCAGACAAGCTCATAGGCAGTCTCTGAGGATGTGATATATTCAGCCTCAGTAGATGATTTTGAAACACTTATCTGCTTGCTGCTTCACCAAGCAATGAGACCCCCTGCCATATAAATGACATATCTGATGATGGAGCAGGAACCCAGATTGCAGCCCACTCAATCAGCATCAGCAAATGCCACAGGTTCTATATCCGCGTCTTTTCAGTAGGACACACCTATGTTGGGAGTGCCTCATAGATATCTAAGAATTTGTTTGAATGCTGCTCAATTCTTCAAGGTAGAGCAGGAGCTGAATCTCCCTAGAAAGTCAGTGACAAAGCTTATATCAGGATATGTGTTGGCAGTGAGATATTGCAGAGAGTCAACCCCTGATTGATAGAAATGTAATGTAAATTCCACTGTATAAGCAATTGATTCTTCATTATCACTCATGAAATCAACATTCTCCTCCATAGAGGAGGATGTTGGGTGGCAGTCATTCATTGAAAATTCCTCAAGCAGGTTCTTTATGAACAGTGGCTGGGACAGTGATAATGATTCAGCATCCTGATCAATCTTCATACCCAAATACTGGTTCAAATCACTCACATCCTTGATCTCATAATTAGTGGCGATCTGGGCTTTTGTCCATTCAATATCTGATATATTTGGGCTGTATAGGTGAACATCATCCACATAGATGGTTATATAGACCTTGCGGACATCATTTATGAAAAAACCAGTGTCATGAGAACTGATGCAGAAGCCTGTTTCCAATAGCATTTTTCACAGCTTCTCATATCATAATAGTGCTGCTTGCTTCAGGCCATACAGTCCCTGCATCAATTCACATACCAGATCACCATGTCCCTCGCGGAACCCAGCGGGTTGGTGCATATATATACATTCATTGACAGGAAGCTGGGCATTTAAGAATGCTGTAACCATGTTGATCTGCAGAATGTGCCATTCTCAGAATACTGAGATCATCATAAGTGCTCAGAAGGTGGAGGCTGATACAACTGGTGTGAATGTCTTCAAATAGTTGACATTCTTTTCTTGATAATTGCTGCAGACTACTCAGCAAGTCTTATATTGATTGATTCTACCTGCATTATTAATCTTTTTGTTGAACACTCATTGACCATGTAGAATCATCATATCTGAGGTCCTTTCAACTAGCTGCCATGCACCAATCTGCTTGAGGCGGTTAATCTCCTTAATGCAGGCATGGAAGTAATATTTCCAATCTGCAGACACCTGAGCCTGGGTGAGGTTCTTCAGAACTGGCAAATCAGTGATCTCAGGGTCTGTGGGGATGTCAGTTGAATTGTTGGTGAAATCCCTCACTGAGGCCTCCCCCACTGAAGTAATATTCTCAGTGGGCATTGGAGGATCCTTCATCTCTAAAGTGGACCCTGGGAGGGCAGTAGTGTTCTGCATCAAAAATGTTGAAATCCATACAGTAATCTCATAGTCTATCCATCAATTATTTGTAGAGTGTAGAAATACTGGAGGAGCAGATAGAAACTCCCTGTCCACCATGAAATTGTCTGTTGATAAATCATGTTGAGTGGAGGGGATCACAACTGCAGCCACACAGGCAGTGGAAGGCAGGTTCTTGGCACCTTGCTCAGGTGAGGCCAGAGAATCCACCAAATGGAGATCTTCTTGAAATATCATGTCTTTTGATGTATAAAGGTGACTGTTAGAAGGATCAACCAATCTATAATTAGTAAAGCCATCATAGCCTGTAAATATAAGCTCCTGTGATCATGAGGCCATCTTCATATTTGGCTTGGGCACTATTTTTAAATAAGCCTTGCACCCCCATTGGCAAATCCCATGTGCAGAGGGCAGGGCCCTGAGCCAAGCTTCATATGGAGTAACCAGCTTTGGATCTGGATCCTCTACACCATTATAGAGCTTGACTGATGTTGACATAAGGTTAAGCATTTCAGTTGCTGCAATTACTGCCTTGCCCCACATCTGGGGGGGGGAGAAGAAATCTATTAATAACATTTGAGCTTTTTTGATAATCAGGCCAATAGAATGTTCGGACACATCATCTTGCTGCAGAGTGTGGGGCGGGGTTGGTTCTCATTTAATACTCTCACTCATCATATAGATAGCTGCAGTGTTTGAATTCAACTCATCATGGTCAGAGTGAATAATCACAACACCACAATTGAGCAGATTCTTCATAAATTGATTGAAGGTTCATATATATTTTAGAGTCTCATTGCAGCACTTCAATAGAAAGGTCCATCACATTCATGTGGCATCATCAGTGATCATCATTGTGAGCTTCTTATCTGAATAAGATGGTGTATCTTCTTCATTATCAAGTGTTTCTCCACCCCCAAATAGGTCCACCCAGATCTTAAGACCTTTGTGGGTGGTATGATGTAGCAGAGCATTTTTATAACTTGCACATTTATGCTTGGCTTTAACACACATGGCACAGAATGAGAGCTTCTTTGAGCTGATGATGGTGATTCTGAAATGAAGCTCCTGCGACATTTTAATTAGATTCTCCTCACCAATATGGCTCAATCACTGGTGCCACTTGTCAATTGGTAGCTGCTTCAGCATAATGGCGGGTAGTCAGGTTGGTGGGGACAAAATGAAGATATTGATATTCAGATCCTTCAGGTTAATTAGCTGCTCCATGTCATCATGGTTGAAAAGACCCAGTGATGCAGTGTTCAGATCATAATCTGTTGAAATCACCCTGGGCTTTGAGATCACCAAGTATGTCAGTGATCCAAGCTCCAGATCATTCATAATATCCCCAAACATAGAGAGAGTGTCAGATAGAACATATATATTATTGAAATTCAAATTTGCATAGAAGATGTCATTTTCTGTAGATGCTATTATCTCAAAGTAATTTCCAGCATCCACCTGCAGATCATGGTGAATATAGCCCTGGTGCTCCAATAGACCAGTGGATATGAGGTTGGCGGATAAGCCTGGCACCAAATAGACATGGTCAAATTCAATTAATCTTTCCTCAACTGGGATAGAGGTGACTCTGATCCCTTGAACCTTCAAAGTAGCCTTATTGGCCACTTGAATCATAGGGTCACTAACCTCTGTTATTTGAGAAAATCACAATTGATCACATGCAATATGACATCCAGCCCTGCTATCCCATATGATGAGTGGGTTGGTGATTGGTTCAGCAGAGTACACAGGCACCTCAATGACCTGCACTAGATTCACCATTTGAAATGTCTCAGAGCTGCCATTTGCAGTTGATGGAGTCTTTTTGCCCTCACTACTCTTCTTATTATTATATTTTCCTATTCTCACTGTGTTGGTGGTCCTTCATTCTTCAGGAGTGCTATCTGAATTGGCTGCTCAGCAGAGCCCACCATGACAATGCTCACATTCCAGGCAGATTGGGAGGTTGAAATTTGAACATCTGCCCATTTGATAGCCTCTGCATCCCCCAGATCAGCCCCCACGGGCTGAATTATTTTGGATGTTGCTGCTGTTATTGGAACCTGCAGCTGCATTTTCAGCCTGAGTCATGTTGGCTGAAGAATTAGCTGCCTGGGCAGCCTTCTTTGCCTCTTTGAGAGGGTTCAATCAAGAGTGTATTTCCTTCATGATCAAATGAATGTCCAACACAACAGACTTTGATTTGGACTCTTGTACCTCCTCAATTTTCTTTTGCATGTAGTTTTGCCATATATTGGGAAGTGCAGAATAGAACATATGGAATACCACATCATTTGGCAGTAAAATATCAAGTATTTCCAATTTCATAATAATGTCATTGAACTTATCAAAAAACATGTGTATGTCAGTGACTTGGACACCACTCATTGATGTAAATGCCAGGACTGCTTCCCTGCAGAGCTGTGTTCTCAGGATGAAGAACTCTTTCTCAATCACATGTCAAAGAGAATAAGTGATCCTGCCCTTATCATACTTATTAAAATGAGGCCTAATGCTGGCTGCCAACACATTTGAAATGAACACATAAAGCCAGTGATTTTTGGCCTCTCAAAAAGAAGCTCATTCAGGGTCTCCATCAGGGCTTTTGACTTGCTTGTCCTCCAATATAACCCAGCATTGAGTGTCAATTAGCTTGGCCTTCATATTCACATGCCAGGAGAGGTAATTTGAAGGTCTGACCAGAGTGTTTGACTTGGTGGCATACTTAGTGTCCTGTTTGAACTGGCTGATTGCCTTGCTGACGCGGCTATCCAGGTCATAGAGGTTATATTGCATTCAGGACCTCAAGTTCAGATCCCATGCTGACAGTCAACCTGATGGTGGATTTGCAGGCATCATGACCCTGTCATTCTGAGTGCGGAGCTCCTTCAATTGAAGTTGAAGCTGCAATTCTTTGTGTCTCTCTTTTTGAAGTTCTAAATCAATCTTTTGATGTTTGAGATTCAATCTTCTCAGTTGCAATTCTTCAGAGTCAGTTGCCAGCAGCAGGTTAGAGATTACTGCAGGCGTCTCCACTCCATCTTCTGAAGAAGTCAGATCAGCATATTCAACACAATGTAGATGGACTGGTCTCACCATAGTAGGGGCTGTAATCAGCCCAGCTTGCTGATTGGGCATTTCAGGGGGTCCAATATTGGAACTCTTGAATGCCCCTGGGGGGGTTGGTGAGCTCAGGCCCCCCTGGTCATTTTCAGATCAGTCAGATTGACTGAATTGACTCAATTGTGACCATGAGTGAGTCATCATACATTTCACCATGTCATATTAATCTTCTTTATAATGAAGTAATCTTATTCAGTGAGATTCTTGCCTATAAGCTTGATTGACCGGATTGGCATGTTCTTGTGTGATCAGTCACTGAAAAATTAGTGAGTTGCAGATTTTTTCACCTGCTAAGTGAATAGATTGAATACAGAAAAAAAAAAAAATAATATAAGAGTGCATCAAATCAATCAATTGACATAAAATAAGACAATATTATATTGAATGAAGTGAGTAGCAATTAATATACACTATATTTGGCAAGAATTCCTCAAATTGGCAGTTATTTGCGCAAAATGGGTCTCATAACCTGTGAAGGATAGATTGCTTGATTGATTATGAAGTGATCACTAGCTATGTGGAAGTTATATATGGTGCGGATTATGTAAGAAGGCGGATAGGCCTGACATATATTAAGTGCTTTAGTAAGTGAGTGTGAGAATCTAGAGGATCTGATTCTAAAGTGCTTTGATAAGCAGTATGATAAGCAGTGTGAGGACAAGGAGCTAGTATAGAGAGCCTTGGCATCACAACACCCCACATGCAACATTCAATGAAGAAGTGTGTGTAGAAGAAACTATAAGGAGTTGAACCCCTAGATTTGCTCTGACTGGCTGACTCAGCCTAGTCATCATTTGCACATGCGCACGTGATCATGCTACGCGAGCTTGCTTAAGCTCGAGTTCTCATCTCATTCTTTTCTTCCCTTTCTCAAGCAATTCGTCCTTGTTATATAGGAGGACTAGCCTCTAGTTCTTAGAGCTTAACCCTTTACAGAAACCTTCTACAAACAATCATCAAGTCTGACTTCAGAAAAAAACACTGAAGCACCTTTTACATCAGTTGATGAGGAGATTCAGATAGTTTAACAAGAGTAATGACAGCAAGAGATATACAAAAAAATCCTCAAACTACAACAATAAATCAACACTTTTAGTGTAGAACTCTAAATCTCTAAGAGCAAGCAGCACAGAGCAGAGTTAATAAATCACACTATTAGTGTCAATTTCACTTTTTCCAAGCCTCATTCTTCACCAATGCAAAAACTCTCAAATGAATTTAAGACAAAAAGTCTCAAGGAACTAGAAGACTTTATCTCCTCAAGCCTTGTCTCTTATGTGTATCAAATGTTAGACTCAGCGCCAGGGCTAGGTTTATCTACATCATGTGATCAACACCCCACATGTGATCTAGCAGATCAGTCGTGATCCAGTCACGTGATCATGTGGGCTGTTTATAATTTGAGCAGACTTTAACATCTCTTTTTTCTCATCAATCTTAGTATTTTCATTATATAGCAGTTAGCAATGCAGAGAGTTTCCTTCTTATGCAGCTCGCATTTACTTTCTAACATCAAGAACATTACTTTGAAAATGATGATGAATACAAGATTCTTGAAGCAGTAACACATTTTAATGCTAAACTGCAATAGAAATGACAATAATATTATATCAAATTGAAAATATCAATTATTTGAAATAAATTCTATAACTAGATTCATGCTAAGATCATCAACTCAGATAAAATAAGCCAGAACTATGAGTTGAAGTATCAGACATTGAGATAATCTAAAGATCAAATTATTCATGACTTTATGTCCACTATTCAGTCAATTAAGAATTATCTCCTTAAGAAATATAGTAATTATTAATAAAAAATATATCTATTTGACAAGATTCTACTCTTTTTTCATGCAGAATTTAAGAGATATGCAGTTAAGCTGTGAGATCTCTTCTATGATACTTTTATCATAAAACTGAATATTGTGAAGAGCAACATTTCAAAGATTATTATATTAGTAAATGTAACTATACAACAAAAGAGTACTACTTGCAGAAAAGATTCACATTATGATATATCAACAGCATTTAAAAAGAAAAGTCACAAATACAAGAAGTGCTCTGATATTTAATATGGTATTTATTAAAACTTTATTTACTTTAATGTAGACTGCAAGACTCAAAAAGACAAGTTCTCTGAAGACAAATTCTTAACTTCAAAGTCTTCATCAAAGTTCTCTTTCAAATCAAATTTAAAAAAAAGGCAAAAAATAAATAATGAGTGTCATTTATGCTGCAATGACAACTTTTAACACAATTAAAAATCAGTAATTATTAAGTCTATTCTTTTTTTTTTCTATCTGAATTTCAATATTCATAAAAGATATGCTGATTCTCACTTTTATAGATTCTGAAGTTTAGACAAGTTTTATCAATGAATTCTGAGTCAAATAATATAAATTATAATCAACAGAGTATATATTATATAGAATAAAGAAATTTGATGATCATTAAATACACTTATTTAAAATTATTAATCTAGAGATAGAAGTTTCAGATAGTAAGAAAACTATGATCAAGGAATCTCATTTTTTTTATATTATCAAACTTTTAGACTATGATATGATACTAGAATTTCTCTGACTCAAATAACTTAATTTTTTCATTGATTGAAAAGATGAAGAATTCTATTTCTATCAAACATTAAACAATCAAGAGATAGCCCTGAGTGTAATAGATGCTACTAATGAAATACTCACTGATGCTTCTGACTATGTACTTAGAAGAGTATTTGTCTCAATCTCATAGACTTCTGAGTCTTTCTCTGAAATTTCAACACTGTTAAAAGTTAGCTTACTTGCAAATACAGCTTCTGTCAATGATCTGCTCAACTATATCTAATTATATTTATATCTTTTCTTTGAGAAAGATGTATTTATTGCATATATACCTGATGCAGACCACTCAATTGATCTCAAGAAAGAAGTCAGATTCTTATTTATGTCTATCTACAATTTCTCTGAAACAGAGCTGAAAACTTTTTGAAACTATTTGAATAGTATACTGAAAAGAGGCTGAATATCTTTTTCTCAGAGCTCTGCAGGCACTTTTATTCTCTTTGTTTCAAAAAAAATAAAGATCTATAATTTTATGTAGACTACAGAGGTCTAAATCATCTTAGAATTAAAAATAAATATTCATTATCTCTTGTGAGTGAGATACTAAATAGACTCTCTGAAGCACAAGTCTTCTTCAGGATTGATTTTAAAGATATTTATTACAGAATATATATTCTGTACAGTAATATATAAAAAATAGTATTTCATACACAGTATAATTATTTTAATTATAATGTTATATCTTTTGAGCTCACAAATGCCCCTGTCATCTTTCAAGTCTATATAAGCTATACCTTAGTAGATCTTCTTGACATATGCTGTGTGATTTATCTAAATGATATTCTTATCTATTCAAACTCAATAAATAAGTATAAGGTGCATGTATAAAAGGTACTTGAACATTTAGACTGCACAAATCTATTTATAAAATACACTAAATGTGAGTTTGTCAAAAATAAAATCTTTTTCCTAGAGTTTATTATTAGATCTCAAAGCATTTAAATATAACTAAACCAAGTGATAATAATTACAGAATAATCAGTTTCAATTAGTGTTAATAAAATTCAGAGTTTCTTGAGATTTGTAAACTTCTATCATCACTTTATTGAAAACTACTTTAAAATCACTAAGCTCCTTTTTGATCTCATAAAGATTTTAAAAAAGAAGAGATAAAAGCTGCAGTTCATATGAATAAAAAATACTCAATATATCTTTGACAATTTAAAAAACACTTCACACTAACTTCTCTACTCACTTATTTTAACTCAAGCTGAGAAAGTTAGATTGAATCTGATGTCTCTATAGCAGCAGTGACTATTATTATCTCTTAAAAACAAGATAATGATCAATAACACTCAATTGCATTTTGATCTCATAAACTTCTAGATGAAGGAACATAATATAATACTTATAATAAGAAACTTCTTGCAATTATTGCATCTTTCAAAAATTGATATTATTATCTGAAAAAGAGTTAATATTTAATTTTTGTCTATTTTGATTATATCAATCTTTAGTTTTTCATAACAACTAAAATACTGAATTAATATCAGTCTAGATAAGCAGAAGCACTATCAGTATATAACTTTATTCTACATCACTACTCAGATAAATAAAACTCAGCTAATAAACTTAGTCACTGTGCAAATTATATTGACTCTTTGTATGATAAAATTATGCTTTCTATCTTATAACAAAAGCTCTATCACAATGTCAAATAATGTTAAAAATTTAACTCTCATGAAAAACTTATAAATCTTGTTAACTACATATAGGTCTATAATCAAAAGCGTATACTCTGTGTGAAATCTCTTAATCTCAATACTCTGAGCTCTGAATCTCTCTCAAATCTTACTGAGTGTAGATTCTCTCTTATCACTATATAAGATGCTCATTTACAAACTCACATCATAATTATTGAAATCACTCAACATGCTGATCAGAGAATCTTTAAGAGAGAAGCATTTAGTTTCAAAGAAATATTTTAAGAATTGAGATATTTTCAAACTATTGATTAATACTGCTACAGTCTATAAGGAGCTGAACCTGTAGATTCGCTCTGGCTGGCTGACTCAGCCTAGCCATCGTTTGCACGTGCGCACATGATCATGCTACGCGAGCTTGCTTAAGCTCATGTTCTCATCTCATTCTTTTCTTCCCTTTCCCAAGCAATTCGTCCTTGTTATATAGGAGGACTAGCCTCTAATTCTTAGAGCTTAACCCTCTACACAGTCTTTGAATCAGTATATACAAATATGCTAGAGTTTCTCATCTTTATTCTTGTTAAAACACAGAACTCAAACTCCTTTGCAATAGCAAAGAAGTAGAAGATAAGAGATAAAGATACAATTTTGAGTAGTGATATATTCTGAATCATCTCAGAAGATAATCTAATTTGAGTAAATAATAGCGTTTATATTCTTCTGTAACAAGTACTGATTAAAGAGATAATCTACAT